TATACTATCTGGATTTTGAAACTATGGATACGGCATTGGGGACTAAAGCTGTTGGGCTAAATGATACTTTGACCAGGTAGATATTCAGATTACTTCTGAAAGAAAATTTTAATAATATGTGCATTGTCTTTTAGTCTAAAGGAACTGCTTAAATTATGTGTACTTAGCTCATGTTTTACTGACATGTTGAAGCTGTTTGGCCTTAGAACTTTACAGATTGTTCTACTTTTCAAAAATATTGAGAGCTGCCAGTATCTGTTTTGAATGTTTTATAATTTAGTGCATAATAAATATGTGTGCAACGAGTGAATAGGTGACTTTTTAAATTGCAAAATGTAACTGGACTCTAAATATCATAAAATCAAGATCATGAAGGCAGGTTACGACAAAGAGTCTTAGAACTGACCACAGCTCTTCTGTTAGAATTAATCAACTGCAAATCAAATCTTAGCCCTCTTCATCTTTTTATGAGGTTTTTGGATGTGTCATCATTGGGTCAACAGATATAATTGTGTATATGCATGAGTCTGTAGTGTGTGCCTGCATGTTCATATACTTTTTGAATTTGCTTTCTGCCAATTAAACTATTAAGTATATACTTTCCTTAACTTAATCTGTGCAAAGGCGGCATTACTTTTTTATATAAAAATAATACACAGTAAAAGCAATAGCTTTGGACTTTGATAGGTAGGACAGATTATTTTTCAAGGTTTTTTTTCAAGCATTCTTACACGTGCTAACACATAAAAGAGGTTTAATCTCAGTAAATGGGAAAGCTAGCTCTCCTAACTTTTTCCCAAGTTGACTTAACAGGCAAGATGTGAGTATTCACATATTTCTGTTTACATGCAGGGAAATGACAATCAGATTGCAAAAAAAAAAAAACAAAACATTATTTATACTGTCAGTTCCTGCCTTGCTAAAACTTGGTGACTCAGTTATGCAAACCATACAAAAGAATAGACTTTTGTATTACTACATGTTTTGAAATGAGATCTTTGTGATAAAAAGATCAGAAGCTGAAACACTGGTGATAGAATTTAAGTCTATGATATAAATTCTGAGTTGCTCTATCGCTAATCCTAGAAATAATTTCTAAAAATATTTGCTTATAATAGTAATTCATTTAAATTTCTTTAACACTTAAAATGAATTGTATGTAGCTCAAATCCAAATGACGCAGATGAAATGTCTGGATTTGAGCCTAATAAGTACATTAAAAAAATCTCATGAAGCACCTATTTTTTTCAACCTTATAATTTCTGCTTTAATGGCAATCAAGTTTAAAAAATGTACAGTTTCACTTATTCATACCATTCCTTTATAAAAGGCAGATTTCAAGTAAACTTCTAAATGCATATATAATGTAGAAACTAATATTTTCTGGCAGTCCTTGGTTCCTGAAAGTTGAACTTCATCACATGTGTTTTAAACTTTTGTCAAAATAGTCGTGAAAGATATGTTACTTTTGCATTACGAGGTAGTTTATTAGGGGCAGGCACTCATAAGACAGTGTAAGTCCACTTGTCTAAACGTGCATGAGGCTGTGTGCATTGTAAAATGTCACAAAGAGTTTTGGGTCAGTGAATATTTTGCTGAAGGAACAATACTTACTTTTAACTGAGTACTTTTCTGCAATAAATAGCAAAGTCGGTTCTTGTAGCTGTAAACTGTATATACTGATAACTACAGGCTGGTCTGTCATGGAGCTAAAAGTTTCACCTGAAAACTTGCATTTTCTTTTAATAGTCATATAATGTTATGAATATTATTGTGCTATCATAAATCACTAATGTTATTGGTAGTAGTTGGGTATAGCATTTTAGTTTTGCATAGTTGCAATACAAGTTTTATTTATTTGTAACTTACACACTAGGACTTTGAATATTAAAACATAAATTTATTGGAACACTGAAATTAAATCTCAATTGAGGATAAGTGCCTACAGAATGGAAGCTGGTCAATGATAAAGGAAACATTCAATTAAACCTGTAGATACTGATCAAATTTATTTTTAAAATGGAAGAAACTCATGCACAGGGAAGCATGAAAATTGAGCCAAGCATTTGGAATTGGGTCCTGCATAAGGAGCAAAAATTCAAATTTCATATATTTCAGAGTTAGGAGAGAAATAATGTGGAGGATCTGTCGGGGAGAATTAGAAAGTGGCTTTGAAAAACAGAGGTCTTATTTTAGGTTTCTAGATTTGTCTGGGCAGAGATGCTAGGAAAAGTTATACTCTGCAGAAAGTAGAGGAATAAACATTGAATTTGGTATCAGCAAGTTAGGAGTCCACATGTATAGGTCCTATTCACATGAACAGTTGGAACATAATTTCTGTATCTCTATTTCCTTTTAAATAAAAATTGGAATGTTGGAAATCACATTAAGAAAACAAAAATGGAAGCAAAGATAAGATGGTAGGGCTGCAGCCAGAGGCAATGGACAAAGAAATGACAGTCCGATTAATGTTCCAACAGCCATGTTTACACACCCTATCCTTCTGCTCAGTCATCTGTAGATCTCTCCCTGTGCAAAGAATCAAGTGTCAACTCAACATCTTTGTCTTGAAAGACGAAACTCTGGTCCAAGTTTAATGTTCAATTTTAATATTTCTTTAAATACATGAATTTATTCAAATTCTGATGATCAATTGTGAAATTCATTTTACTGTTTTCTTTGTTTCATGCCAACCTGTCCTATCAAATATAGAACTAATCTGTTGCTAAGTTCCCCAGATGCTTACCTCTTCATTTATGACTTTAGCACTTAATCAAGCACTCCATAAACTTCTGTTATTTATTTATAGACTTGTTGTATGCATGTCTTATTATCCTAGTTAACATGTTTGATTTATTCACTTTATCATTTTCATCATCATTAGTGGCAGGAGCAATAGTGATAAAATAAAAAGATACCTTTGATTAGTTGATCACAAAGTATTAGGCATTTTAGATTTATTATTTCTAATTCCTATAACAATCTTTCACAACTAGTAAGTGGCTAGTTACTAGTTGTGTTTGCAAACACATGTCAAGTTGACCCAAAGCTCAACCTCTTCCCACTGGGCAATACAGCCACTATGCAAAGTCACATAATTTAGAACATCCTTAAGATTCAATCCATTGGGATTTCATTAGAAAAAAACTGCATTAAAAAAAAAAAAAAACCTTTAAGAGTTCATAAGCTTTGACCTAGTAATTGTACATCTAGAAATCTATAACGAAGGGAGAAAGATATGAAGATAAAAAAATCTCCAAGGCCAGGTAAATGCATACTTGTAAGGGTAAAAAAACAATAACAAAAAAATGAATGTAAAGGTGTAAGAATAGGTGAGAATTAATTATAATTCATAAAATATATGTGAGCATTAAAATATACACTTTCAAATAAGCATGACAGATACTTGCATGATATAAAAAGTGTGATGCTCATGTATTGAAAATATGACATAATTGATCTTAAAATTATAGAGGCTAGGTGCGGTGGCTCATGCCTATAATTCCAGCACTTTGGGAGGCTGAGTTTGAGGATCACTTGAGGCCAGGAGTTTGAGAACAGCCTGGTCAATATAGTGAGACCTCATCATTAAAAAAAACCCATTATGTTAATTTTTAAAAGATATAAAACATAGATTTAAAAATAGAAACAGAAATACAGGAAAAGCAGTAAGATATATCAAAGTATTTATAATGGTTATCTTTCAATGGTGGGAATATGAATTTATATTATTTTCCACATTTACCTACATTCTTCTACATTTTAAAATGCTTATCTTTTACATTTTCCAAAATAGACATACATCATTTTAGCAATAATTTTTTAAAATACCAAAAAATACTCTTTAAAAAAAAAAATCCACAAACTCTTAAAGCCCACATCTGAAAATCTAGACATTCAAGTATGTACATTTTCTTTCAAGAGTATCATTACAGTGTTGTTGACGTTAGTCAAAATATGTTTTGCATTTTCTTCGTAGCTTGTGGCATATTCCATAAATGTCTACAATAGTGATTCGTTTTGGCTATCTGAAGTTTGTGTTGTTTGTTTTAATTTTTTGTTTTGTTTTTATAAGTTCTGGAAAAAGTCAAGTTGCGTGACTCTTACGATCTTCCAAAGATGTATTACTAAAGCAAAGAGACATTCTTACAGGTGTTTTAAACATGAGATTCAGTTTGCTGATGGTGGCGCCTCGCACTGAAAAGCATTTCTTACTGTGCTGTAGAGGGGGACTATGGATGCTGGTGGCAGTCTCACTTTCCCTGGTGGCTACTGAACGTGTTTGTGTCTCCTTTGGAACCAATAATTTCTAATGAATATTTTCTTGTCTCCTCTACTTCCTCCTTCCTTCCTATCTTCCCCCTCTTCATTATTTTCCCATGCAAATGTACGTGCAATACAGAATATCAGAATAGCACATCCTGTAAAGCACAAAAGCAGTGTTTGTTTCCTGGAAAACCCTCCATACAGCCTAGCTGATTATTAGTCTTCTTATTACTGCTTGATTACTATGATTAAATGATGATACTATACCCTTCCAGTTATAAGGCTTGCCTTTTCCCAGTAGCAATGATGAGTCTGTGCATAATGATTGATATTTTCTCAGCTGGCACCTCTTCTAACCGATGACCTGCGCTTACGGCAAGGCTACCTGATCTAAGGAACTGCTATCTGTGGTTATAGAGGGTAAACCGAAGCTGTAAACTTATTACCTTTGGGAGACCTAATGCATCCCAGAAAACACAGATGAAATGATCATTGTAATCATGGAATCGAGAAACACAGTAACGTAGGGTCTGGCCCTAAAATGAATATGGTATTTTCAGAGTGTACTTGTCTCACTCATGTGAGATAAATGACGTCTTCCAGAGCATGACAGAAGAGTTAATTTACTAATTAATAACATGGAGGCTCTGGAAGTGTGAGCTTCTTAAAGAACAGCGCCACTTATTGTTTTGGGTTTTAACACATTTGATGGAAAATGAAGGTCATAATAATAAATGGATAAAGTAAGCACTCAAATATTTTCTCAATAAATGAGTAGATGATTTTGTTTTATGTATACATATAAACATATGGATAGTTGCAAACACACAGGTATCTCACTTACTCAGAAGTTTTCCTCAGCTATTTATAACAGCAAATACAAAGACCAAGCCATTTAAATGCTCTGAGAAGCAAAATAGATGCCATCAATCCAAATCCTGAAGCTTTTTTACCCGAAAAGGAGGTTGAGCAAGTGAAGGTAACTCCAAATTCAGCATCTGCTCATACTATTTCAAAAATGCATCTTTAGATATGTTAAATCATATTTGCTTTTACATTACTTTAGCAACCTTGGTTACATAATTTATCAGCCCAGCACAGATTAGAATCAACAAATTAGGCAGAGCATGGTGACAGCCTGACAGATCCAAGGCACATTATCAGAAGCAAAAATGAGAACGGAAGGCTCACATTGATGGAGAAGGAAAAACAAGCAGAAAGGCTTAAATAAGCTTCGTCTAGGGTCATTTAATGCAGGAGAAAAGGCTCTACTGTGCCCTGATAGGCCTACTGTATTACAGGTAAAAAATGAAAGAGCTTATGTTTATTATAATCATATTGAGTAATTATCAAAAGTTATACTAAAACATACTGTTCCTTTCATTCATTTCCATGTAACTGACATTTATTCTTAGAAACAACTTATAATGTATATGCTTGATTACCTGTATATAGAAAGGTCTGGGGCATAGTGGGCATTTAGGAAATTAATTGAATGAGGAGACACTCCTATCTTCTGATGTGTTCTCAGCATCCTTGATACCACTACACATAGGAATATGTTGTATTTATTAAGTCTTCCATTACAAAGTCTTACCCTGCTTCATTCCATTCTTTAAAATCTCTCTAAAATTATTGTTCTAATTGTTGCTTGATCCATTTTAATGCATAATCATAAGCTGCCTTATATTGTTGTTTGATCATTTAAATGTTTCACTTCTGCCTTGTTTGTCTTCTCAGTTGGACATTCTGAACTCCTAAGAACAGGTACTGCTCCCCCTAGGACCCTTCTGTCTTTCATCTCACCTAGCATATAGCCAAAGCACAAAGTAGTTATTTCAACAAATACGTTCACTGAATTTAAAAATACGAAGATTAAATATTACCAATGTGGTAAGTGAAACTTAAGGCCAAAACTGTTTTCCAATAAATAAGATTACATACAGTGCCTTAATATACCACAGTACGTGGCTTGTTCTCATAGCAGCAGATTGCAAACTCAGCCTGTCTACATTTCCGGGCAATCTGACAACGATTTATTTACTATTTATTGCTAATGATGATTACTCTGAAGATTAGAAAGTGGTTTTTAGTATCCAGTGGATACAAATGCCAGGAGCGTTTCATCTTTTATCAGTGTGAAATTGAACTGTATATATATTTGGTGAATGGAAGTCTGAAAGTATGTCTAATTGTTGGGGATCTTTATATAAATGCAAAGGAAAGATTTGTGCTTCTAGTGAAACAATCACCTTCTGCGTCACACAGCTATTCACAATCTGACTGCAGATCCAGATTGTGACTAATATTTGGCTCTAATATTATAGGTGGTTACCGTGGAGAGAATCAGTAAGAGCATAATTGTCATTTCCTTGGAAAAATTTAATCCACAGATGGATCCCAACACCCAATTGCATTCATGTCCAAGACTAATGGGGATTTTTGCTAAATAAGGCCTGATTCAGCCAAAAAAGATAGACTCTGAATACAGAAATCTGTATCACACATCACTTCAAAAGATGTATTAACTCAAACACTGAAAGCATTGGCAGACAGAATTTTCCTAATAGGGACATGATGAAAAGTCATTTATTAATTAAAATACATTTATATTTTCTTTTTTTAAAATGAAGCAATGGGGGTATTCTATGCTACCATGCATTTACAAAATTTCATTTGCAAAATTTCATCCTTCATACTTCCTTATTTAGCTAATTAAGGTAATGATTCTACTTAGATTGGAAAGTTCTAATTAAAATCATTAATTTTTCCCGAACCTTCTCCTTCAAGAAATAAGCTTTGCTGCACATCCTTCAGTCTTTGGGAGGAGAGAATGTTGGGGGAATGATGCTGATAATTAATGAGAGAGAGCAGGATACATTTATTATGACCTTCCTCCCCCTGCCCAGCTAAATTTATACAGCCAACCATAACCTAATAACTCTGTGTTCCTTTCTTTAAAGATTTTCTTATCATATGAAACTATTTTGGCCTGTGGTGTATTCATCCTAATTAGAGTAGAATACTAAAGCAAAACCATTTCAATCCAAGTTGCATAAAAATGGCATCCCTTTCCGAGTGACTGGTTTTCAAAAAGAGCTCATTACCTGGAACAACAACAACAAAAGTGTTGCCTCTCTGAATTCACATGGTTTGGAAAATTCTTAGCCACCAACAGATGCACCAACTGAATCATAATAAAGAAGAGAAAATCTATAAGTGATTAATTTCCTTTTTCTATTTAGGCTTAACATGTTTTAAAGGATAATTAAAGTTTTAGCCTGTTTCTTAGAAGTCCAGGAGGAAGCATATTTCAGAAGCTTATTGAACTGAGCGGTGAACTCATTCATTATCCTTTGGTTAATATAGAGTTATCTTGTCTAACCTCAGGTTCTTTTATACAGCCTAGGTTCTTAGACATCCATCTATTTTACAGTGTTAATTCAAGCTGTTTATAAATAACACATGACAATAGATGTTAAAGACCTCCCTTGGGGCAGGTATTATTCCCACGTTCATGGCAACAGAGTTGGTAACAGGACTTGGTGAACAGTATAATCTCAACAAATTAACTGGAACCACATCGCCATTTGGCTATCAGAGCAGCTACACTGAATGAATCATCTCTTGCACACCCTTTTAATTTAAGTACCTTGTTCAGTGCGAAGAAAAAAGGCACACTTGGTGAGGCAGGATTAAGTGCGTATCTGCAAAACCTAAGCAACCATATTTCACCAGCACCTCCTAGGGGCCACGTGTGGATATGAGGATGGGAGGTGGGGACTCGCACAGAACCTTTCCTTGAATTGTCAGTTTCACCTCTCCTACACACAAAAATCTATCCCGACTGCGCCGTCCACAATACCAGCTAGTTTGCTGAATTCGTTTAGCGACTCAAGGAGGCCTTTCGAAGTTTAAATAAAACTGCACAAAAGACACATTTGATCGCTCGAGGAAATAAACATTTTAAAAACTCAGTGGAAGGAGACTCCTAAAATATATCCTGTCCTTTAGAAGCAAAGCTTCGTTAGGACACCGAAGTACTCAGAAATAATAGGCACTTACTCTTCGGTTTACACACACACACGGATTAGTTTATAAAGTTCCAGGATCCAGACCCGGGTAACACAAGTTGCTTTTTAGGGGTCTGCGCGATCTCGCCTGGCTGCTGGGAATGAGGGCTGGGAGGCGCTGAAGCGAGGGCAGATCTGAGTGTCTGTAGGAGTTGCTATTCCAAAAAAATCATTACTCTCTAATTGTTCTGATTTTAGATCAGCAAAGCGTGCCGGGCGGCGGCGGAGAGATTGAGGGCGGACAAGGCGAGAGGGAACGAGCCGTCCACCCTTCAGAGAAGCCTAGGCTCCTTGTAAGTAATTGGCGAACTGTCGGGAGAAGAAACAGCCAAGCGGCGCTGCAGTGACCGCACTTGCGCGCGTCTCAATCCTGGGTGCTCTGCTCGCCCGCCCCAGTCCCTCGCCCCATTGACTCTGCGTCTTCTCCGGGCGCTGCAGCCTCCCCGGGGGGCTTCCAAGGGCCGAGGGGCTCCGGCAGAGAGGGAAGGGAGAGCGAGACGTGCCGGGGCCGACGAGCAATCCTGCCCCGGCGGTAAATGTCTCTCCCCGGCGCTGGCACCTCGCAGGCCCCTCGAGGAGCACGCAGGGCAAGCGGCCCCCGAGCGGGGGAACCGGGAAGTGTGTGGGGCTCCAGACGGAGTAGGAAGCTTTGCCCAAGGCCAGGCTGCAATCAGGCAGCCGCAACAGCCAGGCGCGGAGCTTCCCACCTGCTGCTGTCCCAGCTGGGCCGCAACTTCCTTCTCCCCGGCCCGGGGCCGACTCCCCCGGCCGGGCTCCGAGGGTGGAGGGGGAGGAGGCGGCGGCAGGTTCCCTCCGCTGGCAACGCCTCGCAGCATCCTCCCCTCCCCGCCGCGGTTCCCGGGGCCGGCCGCGCGGCCAGGAGCGCTGCGATTGGCCGGCAGCGGCCGGGGGCGGGGCCAGGAGAGCCGGTGTCGCACGGACCGCCTCAAAAGAGCCCAGGATATTGCAGAGCGCACTGGAGCCCTGGCCAGCGCGCAGCCTTCCCGGCGCCGGCAGGCTGGGTCTTGGGAATTCTGGTTTGCTTTGGCTCACTCGCTTTTTACAAACCACTGGATCTTACATGCCTCTGTACCCCCCACTTCCACTCCATGTCCCCATGCTCCTGCGCCAGCAACAGGTAAGGGCTGCTGTGTTTTCTTCCTTTTCGCTCGCTGCCGGTGTGTCCTGGGGAATGGACTCTGGCCGCCCCGTCCCCTACCCTACCCTGCCCCGCTGCTCCAGAGGTGCCCAGCTGTCACACTGCTGTAGCGCTCACCCACGCTCCGGAGTCCCAGATCATGCCTATATAGTTTGTGTGCGCACCAGAACATCCCCAGAGCTAAAAATACTGAGACATGCTTGGAACAGTTGAGCAATAGAAACAGATTTCTCTGCAGCATCTGTTTGTGCTCATAACTTCCAGTGCACCAGCTGTAGCGAGATACTGGGTTTGGAGGCAAGGGCGAGAGTGTCTGTGTTCGGTTCTCAGTCTAAGGGGGAAAAAAAAAAAAGAAAACAAAACAAAACGTGGTTGAGGGTTTGGGCGTGCGTCTTGAACCCTGGTCTTAAACCTTGGCAAATCTTGGGACTTAGCACTATTCTTGATCCTTGGCGGGTTTTTTTGTTTTCTGTTTTTTGTTGTTTGTTTTTTGTTTTTTTCGTCATTGCTTCAAAGTATAGCTGTGAGTTTCAAACAGAGTGAGTGTCTCAAAGTTGCCTTCCTGAAAGAAGAGCGGGAGCCCGAGTTGGATTTGAGCCTGAGGATCGCAAAACTTTCACATTACATATCACTCTCCCTTAATCAATTTGTTATTTTTAGTAATAATGGTAATACCTGGCTTGAAGACAGTGTGGTTTTAGGGAAGCAAAATAGTCAAAACGACTTGATTCTGCAAAATGATTGCATCATAGCATGGATTCATCATGACAATTGGAAAAAAAAACCAGGGATAGGAAATGGGCAGTTTAATGTCTGTGTCTGGGTAAGGATATCATAGGATGATCACTAGGATAAGGCTGTGCATTCTGACGATTTTCATAAATTCAGATTTTACTTGTTAGGAAATAAGGTGTTATTTGAAAACCTTGGATATGCAGAGAATCCATATTGCATTTTGCCATTTGTTTTCTTTTCACATGAATAATCAATAGGCTGCCAGATTTCCTCTCGCCAATCACTGTTGTGTGTCTGATGTACATTATCGGTACACTTGTTAGCGTTTTCCTGCTCACTTCCAAATGTTTCATTTCTATTTGCCATTATCTGGAAAAAATCCTGGTGCTCAGAAGGGGTAAGAGATGTTAATTGAAGCATGGTGGAAAGGGTGAGGATAAGGTCAAGACCATTTTACTTAGCTTCCTGCCCTCCTTTCTCATATTTTAATGACACTTTGTTTTTTAATGTTCTTGGTCTCCATAAGAAATATTTGATCTAAACTCTTGTGAATTTTGCTTTTTTTAAAAAAATAAAAGAACACAGTTTTTCTACATCCTTCGGACTCCTCAGTTGCAGAATCTCTGGTTAGCTGTAGCGTCCTTGTATGACTTTTGCGTAGCCTGAAAGATTGAAAAGAGCTACCTGCACAGATTGGATGTTTCAATTTTTTAAGTGTATATTTTTATTTACCAAACATGTCTGTTTTTCAGCATATGCAGGTGCTGAGCAGTGCTACAAGCCAAGTGTCGTTGACTATAAATGTTAGACATGGGGCTCACGTAGATAGATGGGTATCCTCCCTCCTCTCCTTCTTCCCCCTCCTCCTCCCTTATGTTTATTGAGCTTCTAAGAGGTTGCTTTCCTAGCAGTTGTGCTCACATAGCAACATGTGCCCAGAGCACACTCAGGCTGGTCTGTATGGCGTCAGCTGGGAAATAGCTGCTCTAAACACTCATTAGCAGACCTCTCAGCCCAGTACATTTTCTTTTGCTATCTTTATTTCCTATCCTTAGAAACTTTCTTATTCATTGCACATCATGACCGTGTTTCAGGACACATTTACTCTCATTTGATTTTGTTTTAGTTATTCATAAACCATATTGGAAGTATTACCTCTATAAGTCAAAGCAATTTAGATCCCCCATTTGTACCATGTGATCTCCTTGACCTTACATTTATCCATAGCTCTTTCTGCTTTAACATCTACCTAAGTTTAAAGCGCTGAACTATTTTTTCCATTGCTTATGCTTAATTTTGGCTCAGCCTATAAATAGTCTTAACATGAACAGCACCACATGTAACCTCTCAATTTCCCAAAAATACTTTCTACATCATGGGTTATGGCCTGGATAAAAATGATTATTTGTGTCCATGAAATTTACATCTAGGCCCTTAAATATTTTGGCTGGAAGGGAAATTTACACATTGTTCATCAAATCAAATTTCAATTCTCTGGATGTGTATCACTTAGTGTTCTCATCTATTCCTAATTGATTGCATCTCAAAACATTATTCTGAATATATGCTTGAAATAAAGTTGCATGTAAGCCCTGTTTTTTAAATGATAGCTTTTCCCAGCTTGTTCACGAATTGGTAATTGCTAGTGAGAGAGGACCGGGCAAGGAAGTTTTCTGTTCGCTTAAAGTCGCTCAGGCAGGTTAACAGGTTAACAGTGAAAGCAATTTTTACCATGAAACATTAAGATCGTTACCCCATCAAACCCTGACAGGTTCTAGCTTTTAGCTATGTAATCAGCTCCACAAAAAGTCTGAATACATAGTATATGTGTGTGCACATGCATACACACATAAATCTGTTTTGGGGCATATCGATTTGAAGTGGCAAAAGTTTTCATTTTGCCAAACAAAACAAAACAAACCAAAAAGCGAAACTCCTCTTTTTCTCTTTCCAGGAAGAAATGGTAAAATATCTAAATGATGCTCCACATGTGGGACAAAATCTGTTATTAGCAATGGAAATAAGGCAATAATAGTCTCTCAATCCAGACCACTTTCAAGATTCTAAATGTGGAAAGCTATTCATAGGAAGCTGGTATTGTGTGATTTGTGGAATTCAAACAAATGTCCCGGGGTCAAGATTTTTGGAAAGTCATAATTCAGTCTTTAGATTTCATATGGTTGTTATGTTTTAATCTGGAAGGAGTACAGAAATAAGTCAGAAGAAATTTGAGACTATCTACTCATGGCCCCTAATGGTAACTCACAAGGAAGGATTGTTTTGAATCATGAAAAGGGAATTTCTTGGTGTCAGCTTATAATACAAAGTTCTGAAGTCAATCAGAACTCAAGAATACAAAGCATTCATTAAATGAAGCTCTTCTCCCTTTTTTTTGAAATGTACACCTGCGTTTGGTGGTGTTGCTGTCTGTGTCTGTTGAGAAATGTGAGGCAACTGAGATGAACTAATTGCTTGAAAAATGCTGTCCATGTACAGGATCTAGAACCTTGAGGGGTAGGATTCTTGTTTCTTTGGTCCAAGTGCAAACTTCACAGGGAAGCAGACAAAACATTGAAGCAGGTGGAAGGTTAAGAAAGCACAGTAACTTCTTTTTATAAAGTGATTCAAAGGCACTTTCAAACCAAGCATCATTTAGGTGTCAAAAGCTGCCAAAATGTAACACACATTGCAATTTTCATAGATGACTAATCTCAGGAAAAATGTGTTGGGGCACATTCTTGCATAATAACTTGGATAAAGAAGAAGTCAAAAGACAGTAACAAGGCATTTTCAAAGGCAATGCACCTTGCCTCTTTTTAAGGGATCACACAAAAACAATGTAAATGGATGGCTTTATTTGTTTGCAGCTGGCTTGGCTGAAATCGGTTCTGTTAACTGTGTAATCTTAATGGATTTAGAGAAGAAAAAAATGGAGTCTTCATTATCAGGCATCAACAAATCTCTGACTCCTTTCATGAGTTATTCATTGCCCCCCTTTAATATAGCAGAAGGATTTGGTTGTATGAAAAGTTAAGGATGGGCTTTATTTTTCAGTTCTAACTTATATTAGTTTTGTTATCACACATTTGGTAAAGAAAGCACCTTAGACTTTCTCTTAGTTTTTTGTTAGTTAGTCAAGGAAAATAGTTTCTTAGGAGTGAGGATGGCAAGTTAAAGTAAATAGATAGTTCTTACCTAGGGAAGAATGAGGCAATTGGAGAAAACTGAGAACTACTATTTGCACATATTAGGTAAAGGTGAGTGCCTTCTCCATAGGAACCTGTAGCAAATAACAGCGCTGGAAGTGAAAGTAAGCGGACTGGCATTTATGATCTGTCCTTACACAGTTGTCTCTGTCTGAGAGAACACAGCATTGGACTGACATGAAATGAGTTCCTGCCTTATCTCAATCCGCTAAAGACCTGGTCCTTCGGCACAATGGTGCTTACTTCCTAGCCTGTCATTACACATGACAGCCCCATCTCAGGAGAATTTCAGGACTCTTATTGCTAGGCAACAGAATTGCTCTTTATCCCCCAGAGCAAACCTGCATCTTCAAAGTCTTCAAGCCAGAATTACCTGCACTAATAGAGACTTAGCAGGCATTTCTGCATAGTGGTTGCTTGAAGTGTGAGAAGTGATGAAGCAAGCCCAAACAGTATCCAGAAACTGGAATCCATTTCAGATGATTATAAGCAATAGGGGCAGTATTCACCATCGTAGGAGGTTTTGTCCACTAGTTCCCTCTGTTTTCAGGATACACTCAATCAAGCCTACTCCAAAATCCACATCACTATTATATTTGTAGGTGGGAATCTGACTTTCGTCCTCTAGCATTTCCTCAGCCTATCCGGTCTGCTAGTTATATCATTTAAACAAAAGAGTCTGTCTTCCGATTTCAACCTTGCCATCAGGGGCTCTCATATTCTCCCGTAGTGCACATGCAACTCAGTGAATATCAATACTGCGTCCACGTGAAGATTTCTAAACATGTCCTCTTTCCAAAAATTTTACGACAAACCTTGGGATCAGACAGTCTTTCATCTGCTTAACAGGGATCGTAGCAGGTGGGGCAGGCCAAAGAAGAGAATAAGAGAAGAGGTAGACCTGAAAAATAGAATATTCTAGATCCCTGGCCAAAAATAAGGGAAAGGGGACCTGACCTGACATTTTGGTTGAACAACTGTCACAGACAACTCTCCTATGTTTAACGACTTTATGCTTTTAAATAAAAGGTTTACAAAGCATGCTTAGGATACAAAGAAATGTAAAACCTTATAATGTAATGTGAAGTATACTTATCTTTACCTGATTATGTGTTTTTGTTAGGATGTATTGTCTTAGACAGTAGAATTCTTTAAGAGTGGCTTATTTTGTAATGCACAATCTCTCTTTTCTTGCAGGACATGTTCTCTGGATGTCAGCTGAGTTATTAAAGTAACTCTGCATGTCAGCAGACAGACCTTGGTAGAACCCCGAGGCTCCCAGAGACACCCATCTCTCCTCATTTTTTGTGTGTGTGTGTCTTCACCGAACATTCAAAACTGTTTCTCCAAAGCGTTTTGCAAAAACTCAGACTGTTTTCCAAAGCAGAAGCACTGGAGTCGCCAGCAGAAGCGATGGGCAGTGTGCGAACCAACCGCTACAGCATTGTCTCTTCAGAAGAAGACGGTATGAAGTTGGCCACCATGGCAGTTGCAAATGGCTTTGGGAACGGGAAGAGTAAAGTCCACACCCGACAACAGTGCAGGAGCCGCTTTGTGAAGAAAGATGGTCACTGTAACGTTCAGTTCATCAACGTGGGTGAGAAGGGGCAACGGTACCTCGCAGACATCTTCACCACGTGTGTGGACATTCGCTGGCGGTGGATGCTGGTTATCTTCTGCCTGGCTTTCGTCCTGTCATGGCTGTTTTTTGGCTGTGTGTTTTGGTTGATAGCTCTGCTCCATGGGGACCTGGATGCATCCAAAGAGGGCAAAGCTTGTGTGTCTGAGGTCAACAGCTTCACGGCCGCCTTCCTCTTCTCCATTGAGACCCAGACAACCATAGGCTATGGTTTCAGGTGTGTCACGGATGAATGCCCAATTGCTGTTTTCATGGTGGTGTTCCAGTCAATCGTGGGCTGCATCATTGATGCTTTCATCATTGGTGCAGTCATGGCCAAGATGGCAAAGCCAAAGAAGAGAAACGAGACTCTCGTCTTCAGTCACAATGCTGTGATTGCCATGAGAGATGGCAAGCTGTGTTTGATGTGGCGAGTGGGCAATCTTCGGAAAAGCCACTTGGTGGAAGCTCATGTCCGAGCACAGCTCCTCAAATCCAGAATCACTTCTGAAGGGGAGTATATCCCTCTGGATCAAATAGACATCAATGTTGGGTTTGACAGTGGAATCGATCGTATATTTCTGGTGTCCCCAATCACTATAGTCCATGAAATAGACGAAGACAGTCCTTTATATGATTTGAGTAAACAGGACATTGACAACGCAGACTTTGAAATCGTGGTCATACTGGAAGGCATGGTGGAAGCCACTGCCATGACGACACAGTGCCGTAGCTCTTATCTGGCAAATGAAATCCTGTGGGGCCACCGCTATGAGCCTGTGCTCTTTGAAGAGAAGCACTACTACAAAGTGGACTATTCCAGGTTCCACAAAACTTACGAAGTCCCCAACACTCCCCTTTGTAGTGCAAGAGACTTAGCAGAAAAGAAATATATCCTCTCAAATGCGAATTCATTTTGCTATGAAAATGAAGTTGCCCTCACAAGCAAAGAGGAAGATGACAGTGAAAATGGAGTTCCAGAAAGCACTAGTACGGACACACCCCCTGACATAGACCTTCACAACCAGGCAAGTGTACCTCTAGAGCCCAGGCCCTTACGGCGAGAGTCGGAGATATGACTGACTGATTCCTTCTCTGGAATAGTTACTTTACAACATGGTCTATTGGTCAGAGGCCCAAAACAGTTATACAGATGACGGTACTGGTCAAGATGGGTCAAGCAAGCGGCCACAAGGGACTGAGGCAAGCACAATGGTTTCAAAGAAAGACTGTAAGCTCCATGATTAGCATAAAGCACTAACCATGCCTCCATTGTGACCCAATGGCACATAGATGTTGTAGAATAAGTTATGGGTTTTTATGTTTTGTTTTGTGTTTTTCCAAAACTTGAACTTGCAGGCAAGCCTTGGTTGGGTATTTGATTTATCCAGAATGCTTCTCTTTAGGGAACAAGGATGTTTTTAATGGCATAACAAAGGCAAGACTCTGCCTTAATTTTTGAAAAGCTGCTAACTACATGAACACAAATGTGTATTTTTGTTGCAGTGTAGTTTTCCTTCTGTGTAATTTTAAAGTCAGTGTTGAACTTGATTGAAAGCTCATGATGCGCTTCAAAGTGGCAAGTATTTGGCTATTAACTGCCAAAACAAGAGCCTGATTTTTTGAGGCCAGTAATTTGTTTGCTAGAATTGATTTTTTTTTCTCTCTCTCTTTGTTACATAAGGGCATTATGTAACACTAGCCAAATGGTAGCCTCTGGGTTGTTGTTGTTGTTTTTTTTTTCCTCCATGATGTTAATGGGTTATCTCAAATTTTAAGTTAAACTACCTAAAATAAATACCAAAGATAATGCATATTTTTGCACAGTGGAGCTTACACTTAAAAGAAAACAAAGCCCCATGGGCTGCCTTGAAATCAAGTGACAATAACTTTGAACCTCAGCAAGACCTTGAACCGCCGGTTCATTTTGCACCTTATTCAGAAAATAGAGCATCATACTCACCGAGTCTAGTCAGTGTAGTGCTTTTTAAAATTTTGTCCTTTCATGTAACTTTTTTTTTTATTTTAAGAGGAAGAAAAAGAAAGGGGCAGTAAAATTCACACACATACAATACCAACATCCATCCTTTCCTGCTAGGCAGTGCTGGTCAGGCTCATGTGTAGTGTGCGAGATGGTGATGTACTCTTACGTTTTTCTGGGCTTTCCCTTTTGCACATTCCAAAATTCATTTCATAAGATAAGATCTTCATAGGACCTCCTTGGCATCCTGGCATTATCAAAACTGAGCCATCCAGCATGAAAGATAAATGGGTTTAAACCCTTGCTGCTGAAATTGCCTGGACTGTCAGGACATTGCCAGCCCACCTTCACCTTAGAGGAGATGCCACACCTGGCCTCCACGCTTGTTCCTCTGATCAGTCTGTCTGGAGTGAGTCCGACAGTGTCAGATAGGGCGGCGAATGCCAAAGGGGGGAAACAGGGAGGTGTGGACTAGCCAATTTGATGCAGCACTTCAGATCAAGTATTTAGGAGGAAGAGGAAACTTGGCATTTTTTTATGGCAGAGGAGAGTAATGAAAATGTCTCAGTATTTTAGGGTCAAAGAGAGTCATAAAAATACAACGTAATGACAAGTAAAGGAGATAATGGTCTAAAAAGGCTGTTTCCCTTTTCTGTGTGCATACTTGTGATTGAATGTGAGCTAAGCATTGTCTCCTGTGGAGCCCTAGAGCAGGTTACTAAGGACGGACACGTTGTTTTCCAGAAGCCTCGCTTGCCTGGCTGACTGCCTTGCTAGAAACTTTTTTTTTTTTTCTCACTGTAGCTCAATAATGGAACTCTTTTTTTGTTTTTTGTTTTTTTTTAATTTAAAATTCCCTATTTGTGAATTCTGGGGTTACTGACTTTTCTTTTTAATTGGAGTCTCAAAATCAACTCTCTTATGGTATTATATCTCTGTATGCCATTAAAAAACAGCTTGTTCTAGAATCACATATTTTGTAAACTGATGTTTGTGATGGTCTCTGGTTCTTGAACAGCCATATCTGAATGCCGTGCCTGCAAAACTATGACAATTTTTGCTGTTTTCAGCCTTCAGATTTGATGGCTTTGAAAACTGAGGTGTTATTTTCAATGAAACCGAGAAAGAGATGTTAAGCAAGTGGTTGTTTTAGATCCAAATGTTAAGGCAGGTTTGGGAAGGTGTTTAAAGAGTTGGAGGAATTGGGGATTGAGTGGACAAGAAAACTTACAGAAGAGGCAACAATTTGGTTCTTGACAGTGAGAGGATATTGAGGGCTTCAGCTGCTGCTATTATGACATTTTGCAAAGGAAAATAATCAAACCAAAGAGTATTCAGTGATATGTAAATTAAATGAAGATACAGTGGAGAACGGGGGTGGCCACAAAAGAGGCTCCCCCTAAACACAGAGTGCTGTCACTTTAAAAAGACTTGAGAAATTTGAAAGGGGGTGGGTATGGGGGGGGGCAAGAAAGAGGGAGGGAAATCTTTCAACTTATTTCTGAAAAAGAGAAAAAAATATAAAATTTCTGGTGCACAGGTTTGTTTTTTCAAGAAAATTTTGCAGAAGCTATGTTTTTAAAGTGTACATTTTATAAAGTTTATCAGATATTTTCATATTTAAAGCCAAATGTAAATAGAGGTCTGTAAAGAAAAATAATTGCCATAGAAAGTATAATGTCAGTGCAGCAATTTCTGAGAGCTAGTACCTATATGCTACGGGTTAGCATGGTTTTAGCAAATATATACCAGCCTTATAAGGTTCGTATTGCTATGTTCTTCTGTTATTTATTTCAGCATGGACTGTTCATTTGAAACCTTTTTCTAGTTATTAGCATTTTAACAGTTACAAGCTTTAAATGGCAATTTTTTCTTTCTTTCTTTTTTTTTTTTTGTCAAGAGCCAAGACACAGGTAATGCACGACATTGATTGCTGCATTTTACCTTCAAAATATTTGTCCTTCTTGACTGGGTCTCCTTAATTAGTGTACACATGTCATTAGAATGCAGATGGAGGGGACTCACCGTGAATATCTGGGGTCGATTCCCAGATGTGTGTTGCTTCTCTATTGCAAGCAGATTCCCTGTTGAATTTACTTAGGATTTATTCCCTTTTAAAGAATTTTTGCCCATATCTGGAAGGGCACTATATTTTTGGGGGGAGCCATAGATTCCTGGTTATCCTATTTTTAAATAAAATGTAGACAAAGTGAATTCTATTTTGATTATTGAGAAAGGAGTAGTTTTCTATCCCTCTAAGAGTATACTTGAATCAGACATTTTAAGGATGTCACTATAGCACTGTTGTCATTTTCAAATTCCTAGAAAAGTTTGTTTTACTTTGTTTTTATTCTGTTAATGCATTCTTTCTTCTCTTTACTTCCTTTCTTCCCAATACACTCCTACCCCAACCCTTGATGTTTATTTGATGAGCTCTGTCCCGTAAATCGTATTTCCCTTACAATTAATAAATGTCACTTCATATTTTATAATAAACCACTCAGTAAAAGCAAAAGCTTGTCCTGAGAAGTAGAGTGAGTTCTTTTTCACTCTGTGTCTAATAATGTTCAGGTGAAAAAAAAAGTGTGGCGTAGTTACCTGCCCATCCCTAATCCTCAGCAAAGTAGAATCTCTTTTCTAGTAATTTTGAGTTTCAGCTCTGGGCTCTGGCAAGTTGAACAATCCTAGCCATTGACAATCGTGATAGTTATTATTTTCCCATTTGCTGTCTTTTTGTATCTAAAGTCTTCCTATTGTACTGCACAAACCATGGATTGTACATATTTTTATATATTATGTCTTATTTTATTATTTCTAAATAAAAAAATTAAAAACTGAAAACAAATTGGTGGAAGAATCTTTGGACTTCCTGTATGATTACTCTAGAAACACCATAAAGTAAATGTTCCCAAACAATAGAACATAAACCCTGAGAGGTTAGATGAATAGAGCCATAGAAATGGCCTCAACAGACAGGTGCAGTGGGGTGGCAGATTAGTTTAATTCAAGTTTGAGGAAGTCAAGCTCATATTTTTTTTTTGGATACAAGAGCCTAGGTAGAAAGGGAGTAGAAAAGACCAATAAACTAGCAAAAAAAAAAAAAAAAACCAAAAATATTATGAAGTTTAGATTTTCATTCTCTGTTTAATGGGTGATAATGTGTAGTTACTCTTTATTGAGTCTCAACTATGTGTAGAGTTCTTGCATTACATATTATTTTTATCTCATTGCCACAGAAACCAAATCAGGATGTTATTATTTTGTATTATAGATTAAGACTTGGCAAATAAGTTCTGTAAAGGGCCAGGCAATAAGTATTGTTTGGCTTTATGAACCAGAGGGTCTTTGTCTCAACTATGCAAATTCAGCCTTGTAATGTGAAAGCAGTTACAGACAGTATGAAAACAAATGGTATGGCTGTGTTTCAAAAAATTTTTACTAACTTCTACAGCCAGCGGGCTAGATTTGGCTCATGGCCAGTAGTGTGTTGACCCCTGTTTTAGGTGAAGAAACTGAGTATGAATTTTAAAGCTAATGAATCAGTGAGGTAGTATTTGGATTCCGGTTTTACCTGCATCTAAACCTAGTTTTATCCACTCAACTATATATCGTTTCAGATCACAAAGCTACCAAGGATATGTAGTCCCGAAGGAAATGCCACTTTTTCTCTGGCAGATTTGAAATAAATAAATGTTTTTCAAGGTTGGAAATACGGAGAAAATTTGCATTCTAAAATATGGGTTGTACCTTGCTATTTTTTCTTTAATATGGCAATTATTATTTATGTTCCAAATATGACTCTAGATTCTTTCTAAGTACTAAATAATTTAGTCTTAACAGCAACTCTATGGAATAGACTGTATTATTATCCTCATTAAAGAAATGAAGAAACTAAGGCTCAGAGAGGTTAAGCACCTTGTCCAAGTACGTACATGAATTATTAGTGCTGAGACTTAAACTGAGGCCACTCAATACTAGGTGGTGGTTTTTTGCGACTACTCTATGCACTTCCTTTTCATACATATGCTTGGTAAAAGCTTCACCATTTAAGGCCTTTCTGCTTTTCAGTTTTTATCCTTTTCAGTAATGAAAACACATCCTTTTTGTTTGCACAGCATACATTAGTGCAGAATTCTTGCCTTGTTCATAACCTGTTCCTAAATTCCTCATTTAATGTTTGGTGAGAAGAGAACAACTTACAAGGAGTAGACTAATTACAAACACTGGTTGTGGGATTTGGGTAAATTTCAAACTTAAGATTAATTTCAATTAATGAGGAATTGTTTAGGTCTGTCTCCAGGCGAAACCACAAAGTTCTGTTACTAACCAAGCTGCAGGCACCCGACCACATTCACACTTTTGCTTTCTGCCCATGACAGCCAAAGGAGTAACACAATCCTCTGGGCAATGGAGATAATTAAGCAAGACCGGTTATGGTAACGCTAGGCAGTGAGTTGCATGCTATAAAGGCCTCTATTTTTTATTTTATTAAATACGTATACAAAAAGAACAGGCAAGGGTGGAATTTCAGAGTCCTTTTGCTTGGACTGTGTTTTGAGTGACAAGTGAGGCAAGACCTCCAAGCTCTAGCCTTCAGAAGCAGCAGCTTCCCAGGTCATACCCGCAAAGAAAAAAACAAATTTCTGTCTAGAAATGTTCATTTTCAAGCTAGCAAAACTGATTAAATAAATCATATTTGTTTGCCCAAATTTGAGTGAGTGAATAAATAAACACATAAATAAATAAAGGACGGCTAGCTCTATGCGCTTTAAATGAAGTAAAGAACCAAATCCATGATCAGCTTGTTTCAGGACCTCAGTGTTTCTTCAGAATATTTCAGACCATGGAGCTGAGTGACCTAATGATTAGTCACTATCTGAGGGTTGTTATAATGATTTTATAAAAAGAGAAATATCTAATTACAAGATAGTACTGCACAGCACAAGTAGAATAAGAGTATCAGAATGCCTGGCTTAGGAATTGGGTGTCCAACTGTCCTGATTTGCCTGGGACTCAGGGGTTTTCCAGAGTGCAAGACTTTCAGTGCTGAAACTGGAAAAGCTCTGGGCAAACCAAGGGAGTCGGTCATCCTACTTTGGAAAGTAGAGAAGTAGAATGGCTGGGGGAAAGGGGGAGACCCACTAGTTAAGAATGCGGAAAGCAGGAATTGAAGCAAGGTAAACCAGAGGTAGCACATTAGTGTTACTAAACAGAATAATAATGGTGAATAGTGACTTAGGAAATGGCTCTCTCCAACTAACTGAAATTTGTCGCCTCAAGGGCATTTTTTTTTTTTGTTTTGGAGGAATGGTTTTCTAAAATATTGTACAATTATCTGCCTTATTCAAAAGATAATATATAGTATTTAACATTTCCTTATGTGACTCAAGCTAATATGTGCACCTCTTTCTGATGGGATATGCTTTTTAATCTTTTTTTAGCGTGAAACCTGCAGCTAATATTTCGTCCACTGCCAGAAGTCCCTTAGTACTAGTTTGTTTTCTGCTTCTTACTCTTTGTGTCAAATAAATCAGAACAACCCATTATGACCTAGGTTATTGTATCATGTATGATATAATATAGCATATATGATAAGTTTATCATATATCATATATCATATAGATTATCAGAGAGGATATCACATAATCCTCTATGACTAATATCATAGGTAATAGCAGGGAGGTTCAGAAGGCCCAGAGGACACACAAACGACCTGGCTTCAGTGCAGGGGTTTTATTTTCATTGTATTGATTTTCGGAGATCTTTTTTATTTCAGGTTCGAGATTATATTCTAAGAGGTTGAGGCAATTAAGGAGCTTGACTTTAGAAAATTCTATTCAACTCAACCAAAAATTTGTTAAGCAATTTTTATGTAGTACTGGGCACTCAGAGTTTTCTATATGAACTTGGTCTCCAATCAATCACAACTTAGAAAATGGGTGGTATGGTTATATATTTATTTTGTCTTAAAAACTAAGAAAAGTAACTGGGTTTTAGATATAAAAAGTTTGTGTATAACAATAACTACCAATTACCGAGTACTTAGGGTCTATTAGGCACTGAACAGACTCACGGTTCTTTTCCTCCATGTGTGGACATCTTCATTTGGAAGATTAAATATCTTTGCAGGGAAGTCACTGTGGATTCAAGTATTTTTGAAACACCCTATTGGGAATCGTTTTCAGAGCACATCATTTGAATATTTTATTTGTGACAATTTTTTTATAACTTTTTGGTTAAGGTTAAATTCTATGTTTAGAAAAATCCAGAACTCAATCGGAACCACATTTAAGTGACAAAGTTGGATAATTAAGATCGCAAATATCATGTCCTACAAAACAACCAATGAGTGACTATAAAGAACGTGTAATTAATGAGATGGTTTGGTTGTTTAATTATCAATGGTTCTGATTTGGCTCAAATGACCCAGGAGGCTTTACAAAATATGCTGCACCAAGAGAGTAGACTTG